GCAGCTTTAAACATCCAGGGAGCAGCGTGTGGGGACAGTGCCATGCTCAGAGCACCTCAGCTGCAACTTGACAGCTGGTGGACTTGAACCTTAAGCCTTCTGGACCCAAGTCCGCTTCTTTAAGCACTAAGCCACCAATACCACACCGAGTACCCATTGTATTAAACAAACAAAAATCCACATTTTCAATGGAATTTAAAAATCATTAATAAAAAAATCATTGGCTCAGAGGTCAGGAGTTTGCCATATTTATGTACGAATCATGTATGTTTGAGACCTTATAATTAAAAAAATGTCAATAATTAGTCAATGATTACTACGCAGATGACACCCAGCTCTACCTAGCCAGCAAACCCGACTCCAACCTCCCACCCCCTTCTCTTTTAGACTGCTTTACTGAAATACAATTCTGGTTCACCTCAAATTTTCTTAAAGTAAACAGTAACAAAACAGAGGTTCTCCTCATTGGTACTAAATCAACATTATCCAAAACCAACAGTTTCTCATTTGATATTGACAATTGCTCCATCTCCCCCTCCTCACAGGTTAAGAGTCTGGGTGTCATCCTCGACAGCACACTATCTTTTCAATCTCATATCAACAACGTCACCCGATCCACCTATTTCCACATACGCAATATCAACCGCCTTCGCCCCTCTCTCACTGCCCATACCACTTCCATCCTGTTTCACAGCCTTGTCACCTCCCACCTTGACTATTGCAACTCCCTCCTCTTTGATCTCACCCACAAGTCTCTTCATAAGCTCCAACTGTTCCAGAACTCAGCCGCCCGCATCATTACTAGAACCCCTTCCATGCACCACATCACTCCTGTCCTGCAACAGCTTCACTGGCTCCCGATAAAGTTCCGTATTAACTACAAGATCCTTCTGCTCACATTCAAAGCCATCCACTACTCTGCTCCACCATACATCTCAGACCTTCTTCTGGTCGCTGTTCCCTCCCGCTTCCTCAGATCGTCCTCCTCCATTCATCTGACTGTCCCTTCCGCCCGTCTCGCCACCATGGGGTACAGAGCCTTCAGTCGCTCTGCTCCCCAGCTCTGGAACTCTCTACCCCCCATCTTGAGGAACATCTATTCACTCCCACAATTCAAATCTGGACTTAAAACTCATTTGTTTAAAATTGCCTTCTCCATCTGATATTTCACTGCTGTATTTTAACTTGTTCTTAATGTTTTATGTTTTATTGTTTTTTAACGCTATGTTGTTATCTTTGTATTCACTGTAAGGTGTCCTTGGGTGACAGAAAGGCGCCTATGAAATAAAATGTATTATTATTATTATTGTAATTACTAATTACTAAATACTGGTTAAGGAAGCGGACTTCGGAAGGTTTCAGGTTCGAGTCCACCAGTTACCAAGTTGTCACAGAGGAGCGGCAGAGCATGGCACCGTCCACACACTGCTCCCCTGAGCTGCCTCCTGCTCACTTTGGTGAGTGGTTAAAAGCAGCACGGTGCGTTCACTTTCATGATTACATTTCCTTGCTATTGCAGTACAGATCGGTTTTAACGTTAGGCTAAAATGTAACGATCTCTTTGTTCAAACTTGTTAGGCTATGTTGTACGTATTTGATAATACATTTGTTAATTAATTCGTGTAAGTTCTTGAGCCCTGCTTTCGTAGCGGACCATTCGTTGTGTTAAATAATCGAAATAAAATCACCAGCTTTGGTACTTCATCTTCTATTTCTGCACGAATTTAAAAAACATTAAATTAAGCATATCTGAAAAATCTCTAAATAAAAGTACAGTTAATGATAAAATTAAAATAATAAAATAAAATAAAGGCGCAGGTCTAGTCATCTGCACTTACCGTTAGGACAGCAGAGACTGACTGCTGCTTCCTGCAGCTCACGATTCTACTCCTCAAAGGGCGTGGCGTTAAAAGACCGTAGGATAACTTCCTTCTTTTATAGTGTTACCAAATATTAACTTTTTTTTAAACTGCGTTACAATCTGCCCTACTGATTTCACTCGACCAATATGATTGGACTGTACATAATACGAACCACAAACGTGCCAGGTACTGATAACATTATATCAAGAAGACGAAGTGGATAAAAAAACAACAAAACCCCCAGCATTTTTAAAGTGACAACAGCATGAGTAGTTAAATAAATACACAAGTCCAGAAAATCCAATTGTATGATTTTGAAATCATTTATTTTTATTTTATAGCATGAAACAAGTATATATCAGAGTATCAAATACTTATTTTCCCACTGTAGGTAGTTTGAGACTCCTGAGCTAAAACACTGCCTCAGACTGGCATTTTGCATGTTTACCAAAGTTACAGTACTGTAAATAAAACCTGACTGTGGCTGTAAAAAGTATAATAAAAAAAGACTTAAGGGTTGCCAGAGCTAAAATTTAGATTCTTCCTTATTGCTAAAACCTGCGCTACAAATGGGTGAAGTAGAAACAGGAAATGTTGGAAAGATTTTAAGATTCCTGATGCTTATTGTCATATACATTGTTACAATGCAGCCACTCAAACAATGTAATGAAAATCTTATTTTGTTTTTCCCTTTAACAACCAACACATACACACAATGAATGATGTCAGATCTTTGAGGCATACTGGGACGCTCAGTCTGGAGTCTCCTCCTTCAGCTCTGTCCCTCTGAGCTCAGCAGTCCCGCTCTCCTTAAAACCTTGTCCACATTGGGGATCAGTTTTTCGTGAAAGTCCCACAGACGTTTGTCCACATTGAGCTGCTCCAATGTTAACTCCCTCCGCAGAGCAACACGGGTGTGGATGAGTCGGCACACGTCATGTGGGACTTTATACACTTGTCCAAATGTCTTGAGCACCGAGTGAACTGAAGTCTGCTCCACCATCCTGAGGAACAAAGAATAACAAACATGTATAGCAAGGTTAGAGCAAGGATAGCTTCAATTAAAAATACACCAGGCATCTGAAAGCTGAAAAAAAAAAACAACCAGTTTGTAGTTGGCGATTAAGTTTAGTCAGAAAGTAAGCTAAGAAACAGCTTAAAGTTGACCAGATGTTATTTTCAGCCTTTTGACTTTTAAAGTTAGCATTCATTCAAACTAAGTGTTGAAGCCATTCGTTCACCTTGGTTGAACTATTATCTTGTAAGGATGGTATATGTTCATGTCAGGCGTCTCTCTGTAGATGTGCTCCAGGATGTTCACTCCTGGGACATCCTTCCATTGTGACAGGTGGAACCTCCCTCCTGGTTCAAAGTATATCTTTGGGAAGATGTGGTTCTCAATGAGGAACACCCCTGTCTGCAGAACATTAACAACATCCTAAAAACATAGACCTGTGGTTGGAGTTTTCATGCAGTTCAAGAAAAAGAAACCTACATTGGGATTGTGCTGTTGGAGCACGCTCATCAGATCTGCCAAGTTGTCGTGTTGGTACGGCATCACTATTTCATCAATGTCATTAAGGGTAACGTAATGTGAACGTGCCATCGATCTGTAGATGCAGTCGTTGAGTGTGGCCAGTTGCCCATAGTAATGTAGGTCCCCTCCATGGATAGAGAATGACCAACCCTTAGATGGAATCAAATATTTGTCAATGGGCCAAGGAACTATCTCCAAGAAACCCTCCTGGCTGTAGGTTTGCAGTAGAAGGTCCAGCTCTGGGCCACAGCTTGTGTTGTAGATCACCACTCGGCCCACACCCAACAACCTGAAGGAAAAATGAAGCAACATTAAACAAAAGTTCCCCAAACCATTTTTAAAACCATTTTAATTTTCTAACATCCTACATCTGAAAATGTAAGGATGGAATCCAGTAAAAAAAGAAGAAAGAACTAGTTCCATTCAAAAAGGTCTGCGCCTTTGTCCTCAACTGGACTAAACTGGCTTGGTGTCTCTGCCAGTGTCAGGGAGAAGGGTATTCAGGTCATTCTGAAGTATGTCGTTGTTGCTGCACTGACCTGTACATCTCCAGCGACTGAGCGACCTGAAGCACGTTGTTGTACTCTCCAAACAGATTGGAGATGCAGACTGTGAAGTTGAACTGCAGCTTTTCTTTCTCATTCACTGCGGTTCTTCTTATGGGCAACCAAAGCTGCTCAGTCGAAATATTTTTGTTGGGTTCAGTCAAAAGGCTAACGTGTGTGGCACGATGGCAGGTCAAAGGAATCTGACACATGACATCTGTGGTACCATAGGGAAACCCAAAGTGATCCGAGTGGGGCAAAATGTTTGCAGGAGTCGTAGTTGAGATGTCACCAGAACAGCAGAATATACAGTGGAGAGGATGGACGGAGTCTCTCTTGAATATGCTGATAATGCGTACATCAAAGCCCTTCACTCTTTGGTCCATGTAGGCTGATACAAGTAGGTGCTGGGTGTCTTGAAGGGGGGTGATGGGCTGTTCTGAGACCTGGACGTGACAGGCTTTTAGGGAAAAACTTGGGTTTGGGATCTCCCTGACCATCCTTGATGATCTAATGATGAAGACGGTGACGAAGAGGAAGGTGACAGTGAAGAGCAGGAGGAGTTTCCCCCTTAGGTCTTTTGTGTGGGTCATTCAGCCACAGACAGAGGTGCATCCAAACCTGAAGAAGAATTTGGAACAGCATGAGGAACCTTTATGGTTATTTATGGATTAATTCAATCATTCTTTTTTTTCTCGTCAGGAGCTGGAGCCAATCCCAGCAGTCA